CTCTCCATAACAATGGAGAGATCACCACAACACCAGTTGCACATTAGGTTGTGCAAACTGATGAACTTAATAAGTGATATCAAATGTACTTGATTTATAAAGAACAGTTTGTTGATAATCAGTTTGTAGTTCCTCTGTCCTATTCTGACTTTGTTTTAACTTTTAACATGCAGCAGCACTGTAAGTATTATTTTAACTGAAAATGGTAAAAAAAAAAGATCAATAAAACTGTTATGTAGCACCCCTGCATCCACAGCTGTTTAATGTGTACAGCAGCCACCTTGAGTCACCTCTGAGGAGGCAGATTGTATCATTATCAGGCCAGACTTGCAATTTCACCCACATATCTATGGCAAGTACGCTGTACCTTAGCTTTTCTGGATCCCATGTAAGATGGACCTTGAGACTCCAGGAACTGTAGAGCCTGATTGTAATAATCGTGTACCTGAGAGCACAAGTCAGAATGAAGTGAAATCAAAAATTGGTTGAAAAGACAAATAACAAATGAAGGGAAATCAACAATGATGTACCTTGTTTCAAGGAAATAATGAGCAATTTATCAAAGCAAACACAACTGTGTGCCTATCCTTATTGGCATTATTGACACAGACCTAAACAATAAATAATAAAGGTGAACATAATGGGCTGGGCTGTTAGATATCTACTGCTTTCTCTTTTCTTCCAAAACATACTGTAAACAGCTGCAACTTTAACAAATCAACAGGGGTTTAGCTTGGTCTGTGCTATTATCAACAGCAATATTTGTCATCACTGTGGTCAAAATGTTGTGAACTCACAAGGCACAGCCAAGTGAGTCTGGAACAAATTTTTTGACTGCCGTGAAGACAAATGTACTTGCTGATAAGAGTACAGACCATGCTAAATGACTGCTAATTTGTTTTTGACCACTGTGACCATATCAAAGCCCTGCTCTAAGAAACATTAAAGGGAGCCCAGTGGTCTGAAATAGTGAAATCCAGGGTGTCCAGCATATGCTTTTTAATGAAAAAAACTAAGATTCCCTAGTTACCCAAGGGCATGTGGCATGCTTGACATGTTGAGTGACACATTGACCCAAGCAGCTTTGTCTTTAGTCAAACTTGTGGACAACAGCTCAGATTGGGACATTACTACCAATTGTGGTAAAAAGTAATTTTTCTCTTTGATGCCAACTATTTGAAATCTTCCCTGTAGTCTGGCTTATACTCTGACTTCCACCAAATCAGGGCTCGACACTAACTTTTCAACTTACTAGCCAAGTGGCTTGTGGCAACTCAGATGTTACAACAATTTCAGTTTGTGTACTAGCCAAACTGACTAGTGGAAATCGAAAACCACTTGCCAAAACTGAATTTCTATTAATGAATAAAGGCGGATAGTTTCTAAAGAAACTATTTGGGGGTAACGAAATAATTTGAATACAACAACAAAGTTGAAATGGTAAATTGGCCATCGTTACGATTATAAAAGCTGACGTTTCAAGTGTTAGCCCTTCGTCAGAGCGAAAGACGCAGGGCTAACGCTCAAAACGTCAGCTCTTATAATTGTAATGGTGGCCAATTTTCCTCCGACGAAGGGCTAACGCTCCAAACATCAGCTTTTATAATCATAACAGTGGCCAATTTACCATTTCAACTTTGTTGATATATTCAAATGAATTTCTACTAGTCTGTCACTAGTTGATTACTATTGGTGTCAAACCCCGACCATTCCATTCTTACATTTCCCCTATTCTCAATGAAACATATTAGGCTTGCAAGCATTTCCTGAGCTAGAATCACAAGTGATGCCCACCTTTTCTGCAGACTTGTATTTCCCACAAAATACCATAATTGCTTCATTCAGAGTTGACACTTATTGTTATCAATTGAGACACTGTACCTGCATACTTATTCTTGCTATCAAAGAGTCCTTGCGGGAATCTAAGATTGACTTCTCTAATAAACACTCCTGAGCTTGTCCCTAAAAAGGAAGCATTTCAGCCACTTAAAACTTTGGTACAAGTCATGTGTTTTATTTTATTAGTAACTATACTATTACCTAAATCTAACTTCTGTAGATAACAGGTTTACTTTACTCAATTTTTGATCTAATAAATCAATCCAAAATTTAACTGAGTTCTAAAGCTTGTAAGTAATTGTACCAACTTGAAGGCAGTTGTTGTCATTAGAAAATGTAATGTACGTTTGACCTGAACTGAGTAGGCAGCTTAGGTAGCAAGCATGGTGCATTGCAAGGTAACTTGTACTTGTGGGGTATACTCCTCCATAAAATTGAAATTTCAAACTCTCAGAGACATGATTCCTGCATTCTAGGATATATCTGAATAACTTGCTTGTAACCACACTGATGTTAGTCATCAACCAGTAGATTTTAATTTTATTCTGAACAACATATTATTAAACAACTAAAATAATACACATGACTGGCATTAAAATTTGATAACTCTTACTAGTAATTTATGTGCTTAGGATTTATCATCTTACCAACATTATATTGATGTACAGTTGAAGCAGATTGCTGGCCATGTCAAAAAATGCATCACTGGCAAAGTGATCCTGCAACAAAAAATAAATAAATTTCAAGGCAGACATGTCACCACCAATCAAAGAGAGTCTTTACAAAACAAACACAATGAAAAGTTCAAAACCAAAAAAAGCAATTAAGCTGCTTAAACTTACAATAAAATGTTCAACTCTACAGAAAGAGCCAACCTATAAATTAAACAATAAATTGGCTTCAAATGCTTTTCATTGCGTTATAAATCTTATATCAAATCTGACTGTCACACTTGGAAGTCAGAGCCATCCATTTATGCCATATGAATGCATCCTAGATCCTAAGATCAGGTTGATATTTCTCCCTTCGAAATGCTAAAAATTTTCTATGAAATTAGTGCAGGGCTCGACACTAACTTTTCAACTTAGTAGCTACGTGGCTAGTGACAACTTTGATGTTACAACAACTTCAGTTTGTTTACTAGCCAAACTGGCTAGTGGTAATCGAAAACCACTAGCCAAACCTGAATTTCTTCTAGTCTGTGGCTGATTGGCCACCATTAGTGTCAAGCCCTGTAGTGTGAAGAATTTGCCTTTTTTATCAGATATGTTTTAGTTCACTAGGTTCACTTTTGACCATCTAACTCCCAAGATCTGATTGTTAACTCTTCCTTTTAGCTTCAGCACGTTGCCTTGTAAAAGAGTCCTGGAAATGAGGTGTACGCTCAAGATAACAACTTCTACCTGATGAGTTTGAGTATTCTCCTTTCTTTTTTTGCTAGATAACGTATGGATATTAGAGAGAGAAGTTACATGTCAATCACTTCTGCAAGTTTATGGGTTAAATAACACAGTTTAATGCCAAGTAAGTATACAACATAACCAGATTAGCATGTGATAATAGTATAGTTCATTAAAAGAGATCAAATTAGACTCAGATTATCTAGGGGCCTTGATAAAGCACAACAACAAGAAAAGCATGTAAGGTTACATCTTAGTTAGGAGGAAGGAATTTCAGTGCAACTAAAATTAATGTTTAAACTTGGGAATTTTACCTTGAGGAACTGAAAAATTCCAGCCGCGGCTTGGAAATGAGTACAGGCTACTTTCATACCCTGAAAAGTAATAATATGAATACAGGAACACATTATAACTACTTGTTGCTGGTAATGTGACTCACTTCGCAGGCTTGTCAGAATATTGCACAACTTGTTACAACTCGTAAAATAGATCAGCTAAACTGCACACCAAAACATGTAATGAGAAATATATTCTTGATGGCAATCACTAAATAGAGATCTCACTCACACACTTAAAGTGGAATTCTGTATCTAAAAGCAACCATGTGTTATTTTTTTTCAGGGCTGGAAATTCTAATAAAACACTGCTGCACAATAGAAAAAAATGGTTTCAGATAACAAGGATGTTTATACCATGAGTGATTTTAATATAGATCTACTCAAGTGTGAAACATCTCAAATAAGCCAAGATTTTTTACTCTCTCTTTTAAGCTGTTATCTTATTCCAACAGTGGATAAACCAACACACTTTCACAGAACTTCTGCTACACTGATTGACAACATCTTCATTAACAATCTTGACAAACTTCTCGTTAGCGGAAACATCATTTCTGATATTAGTGATCATTTATCCCAGTTCTGTATCACAACGTCAGCGAAAGATAAACTTCAACAAGAAAAAAATATAAAAATATGTGACTATTCAAGATTCTTTGCTGATCGCTTTAAGGATGACCTGTCTGAAGTTGACTGGAATTGATTAATTGCAAATGGATCAAATTGTGTGAACAAATTGTTTTCATCATTTTATAACAAGTATAATTATACAACTGTTAACAAACACACCCCATGCAAAAAATATCAAATCACAAAGCAAAGTAACTATCTAAACCTTGGATAACTAAATGGAATTAAAGCAGTGATTAAGACTAAAAATAAATTATATGCAACTGGAGACAACACTAGGTACAAACACTATTGATAGAAATAAAATTTGTACACTGATATGCTTAACCAAAAGGAGATATGATGAGTTTTTTGAAAATAATATGGGCAATATAAAAAAAAAAACCTGGCAAGGAATCAATGAACTTTTAGATTGATGGAAAAAAAAAACTAATATCTGCACTAAAGGATTTCAACAATCACAACAAAATTGTTAAGGAAGGATCGCAGATACCTAATATTATTGATGAACACTTTGCAACAGTCAGAAACAGACTTGCTAATAACTAATGCCCACTCCCCAAAAACATCATCTAGACTATGTTGCTCATTGCAAATCTCCAACTTTATCCTTCTTTTTTCAACCTGTTCAACCCAAAGAATTACGATCAGAAATATCACTTGTACCGAATGATAAATCTTATGGTTTGTACTCCTCACCAACTAAATTATTCAAATGTTCAAGTACTGCCGTAGCTCCAGTCCTTTCAGAGATACTTAATACATCGATCAGATTAGGGACTTATCCATCAAAGCTCAAAATTGCTAAAAATTACACCTATTTAACAATTGGTTCATATGTCAGTACATGTGTTCATCGAGATAGGAAGCATGTGGGAAGTTTGGAGAGCACGAAAGATATGTAAGAGTTGCTCAAGGCGTAGCCCAGAGCAACTCTAGCTTCTTGAGTTCCGAAACGAGATGAAACTGTTGATTGTTTTGTTTTCCCTTTCTCTGGGTTCTTTCTCGGGAGTTAAAAATCCATTCCCAAAGAAAAAGTAGGCAGACCTTTATCGGCTTGTTTACTTGTTGCCATGTCTAGTTTAACTTTTTTGCGGAAGTTTTTCCCATTTTTTAATGAAGAATGCTGAGGTGTAGTCTGATCATCCAGGTGAGTGTAGTCCTGAGAAGGACTGTTGTCGGTGGTAGTGACTGACATTTCGACAACCTGTGCGGAAGTCATCATCAGAGTCAAGTGAATGATTGTTGTCAGTAGAATGTTCTTATTCCAGTTCGTGNCACCAGCGTGCACAATGGAAAATTGAAGCACGCTAGCGCTATTGAATTTGATTGCACGAATTTACAAGCTATGTTATAATTAAGAGTGACGATGATATTGACCCAAACAATTAGAGTATTCAAGAAAATAATTTACGATAGATTGACGAGCTACATAAAGAAACACAAACTCTTGTATTCCTCACAATACAGCTTTCGTAAGGGGCATTCAACCCAACATGCAGTGTTGGACATCATTAATGATATACAATTGCTATCTTGTGAAATATTCATTGATCTCAAAAAAGCTTTAGACACCATTGATCGCAACATTTTGCTTCAAAAACTCAATCACTACGGCTTTCGTGGATTAATTAATGATTGGTTCTCCTCATATCTTAAAAATTTCACACAAACAATGCAAGTAGGCCATCATATTTCAGATAAAGCTGTCATTGGATGTGGTGTTCCTCAAGGATCAATTCTTGGACCTTTACTTTTCTTGCTATAATTATGTCAATGATATCCACAGATGCTAAGAATAAATTTAGGTTTTACCTCTTTGCAGACAACACTAACATTTTGTATGCACACAAAAATCTGAAAGACATCGAAACAATGGTCAACAACGAGTTACAAAACCTTTATAACTGGTTGACAGCCAATAAACTGACTCTTAACACTAAAAAATCCAACTTTGTAATTTTTCATCCTTGCCAAAAGCAACTGGCTTACCAACCAAAACTCTGCATTTTTGATAACAAAAAGAAAAAATAATTTCGTCTCAAGCCTATAGTTTACATAAAGTACCTGGCATTCTTATTGATCAGAATCTCTCTTGAAAATACCACTGACAATGATTCTATTGTTACAAAATTAGTAAAAATGTTGGGCTACTTGCAAAGCTACACCACTCTGTACCTCGACAAAATAAATTAATACATATATCTTATTAACCAAGCACGAGGGCCATACTGGGAGAATATTGGCCTGAGGTCTTGACAGTACGGACCAAGCGCAGCTCGGTCCGTAGAAAAAAGACCGAGGGCCAATATTCTTCCAGTACAGTCCCGAGCAAACTTGGTTAATAAGAGATT